AACCCTCTTCTCCTTGTTAGGAATCAGGGAGCGGCTGCACAGGGATTCGGGCTGCTCCAAAATTGGACACTGATACGCAGGGACTTTGGAACATTCTTCTGGCTTAGCACAACTTTATGAAAATCCATGTGGGGAAAGCTGGGGAAAAGGATGATAAAGGCAACCTGAGGCTTCCAAGAGTGAACTGAGCCTGGCATGGAGCTCTGGCAGCATGGAAGGAGCTCTGAGCTGGGTTTTAGGACACCTGGGCCTAGGACGTACCCCTAGTTAGCTGTGCCACCTCTCAGGGCACGTCCCTCTTTGGGCACAGTCTGGCCTCTCTCCAAAACTAAGAGTGAGGACCAGGCTGTGTTCTAAGGTATGTTACTGGATGTCCTGGCAAAAGAAAAAAAAATTGTGTACGGACAATCCATGTTTAAATGGGTTTGGAAAACTAGAAGCTGGGATAAAACAGTTAAAGAGGGTTTTTTATTACAAGAGTAATAGAAAGTCTTTAATATGCTAATGAGCACCTAAGTTCTCCAGGTCAAGGAGGGGTAGAGTGCAGCGTGCGTTAAGGAACCTGCTTTGAGGAGGGCACCTTGTGGGCCCGTGTTCCAGTTGGGACCTGCTGGACTGAGGGACACGATACCTCGAGCTCATGGTTACCACTCCATGTTGCTCCTAAACCACAGAGCCCTCTTCTCCCAGATCCCTGGTGAGGGGGGACTCACCACAGGCCGGGTCTTCCAGAAGGTCCATGATGATCGAGTCGGCGCCCTTGGTGTAGATGACGATCTCACGGGTCAGCGGGTGCCTCACAACCACGGACATTCTCTTCCTGACAGAGTCAAAGCCCAGGGTGCAGAGGACATCAAAGGTGAGGCAGGTGCCCTGGGGCAAGCGCACAGTCACCTGCTCGGGCGTCCGGGACACCAGTGTGAAGCTGTAGGCGCGGGCGGCATGCACGAGGGCAGCCTCATCGGGGCTCTCAGCCTCGTAACAGAGCTCGGGGCTGGCCAGGTCTAGGGCTGGGGCCTCCAGCACCTCCTCCAAGGAAACGTCTGACCCAGATGCCAGGATGTCGCCCTGGTCCCAGGTGCTGCTCCTGTAGCCGCCATCAGTGGAGTAGTCCCCACTGCACACAGACACGTCGTCTCTTTCTTCTGAGTCTGTGGTGGGCATGTTGGCCCCCAAACTCTCCCCCAGGTCGGTGTCAGAGGGCACAGTGGACGAGAATGACTGGCTGAGGCTCGAAAGCTTTAACTTCTGGAAGAGCTGCTGAATCTTCTCCAGGGATGTCCCCAGAGCCTTGGTCGAGGGTGGCATGGTGACCTTGAGATCAAAGGAGGGAAGGAGAACATGATTCTCAGGGTTAGGAAAAAAATACCAAGCTCTCTTTTGGCAGAATTTAACGGTCATTTTGCAATGACTGGATTATCTGGGCCTTCCTTCCGTGAGTGCGGGCAAGTCTTCTCCTTAACCACAATCTAGATGTGCCTCAGCCTACCCACCTGTGAAATGAGGGAGTGAGGCCGGCTGTTTCCTCCAGCCCTGGCATTCTTGGGACTGGCAATGACCATCCCACTCTAATTAGGGAAAAGGAAAGAAAGGAGGCAAAATCCAGCCCCACAGTAAGAGAGACTTCGCATTCCCCACGCCCTGACCAGAGAGCTTTTATCTTTGCATGCGGCATCTCGGTTCATCCTCCCAGTAACTTTATGGAATACTATCCTCCCAATTTATGGATGAGGAAACTGAGGCATGAAGAAGTTCAATAAATTGGCCACAATCACCCAGTGTGTATGTAGGTGGGAGCGCTGGGACTCAAATCTGGCTCTGGCCCCAGAGGTTGGGATCCTCACTGCGGACCAGCTAAAGCCTCCTCATTAACTTGAACATGGAGAGGTGGCACCTGTCCATTCCCTCTCTTGGAAATGGAGTTAATGTCTCACATAACGCTTCCTGCCTCTCAAAGCTCCCTGAAGACTCCTGATAATCTGGCGACTTTTCAGTGGCTGAAGTCACTTTTCAGGGTCGTTTGGAATCTGAGTGTAGTAAGGGGAGGCTCTGGGTTGGTGCCTGGGCGAACCTTCTCTTTCCTGATTTCACAGCCACAAGTTGTAGCACCCAATTCCTCTGTTCAGTCACGAGGGAGCTTGGGTGAGAATTTGTGAATAATTAAAGACAATCGTATCTTCCGTACCGAAAAATAATTCCAAGTATAACCTTCTATACATGGCCATCCAGATACATTATCTCCCAACCGACGAAACATCACACATGGTGTTAATTAGTTCTTTGAAGACCCATATAAAAGCAGAGACCAGTGCAATATGGCGTTATGGGGTTATACAGACGGTTCTGCCATGTATTAACCATACATCTTTTAAATTACTCAAGCTCTCTGAGCCACTGTGTCTTCACTTATCAAATCCAAAGCCATGCCTCAGGTTGCTCGCTTTGAGGATTAAATGATATTGCAGCTGAAGTGTTTGGCATGGAGCCTGGCATGGAGCAAGTGCTCAGTAAATATTCACCCTGAATATCTACTCCACAGACAGATAGACACCAAACTGAAAAGCTACACAGAGAGCTCATGTGTAACTTTTTCAATTTTATTTAAAAAGGAGGGAACTGAGGACCAGAAAAGGTGAGAGATCTGCTCAAGGTCTCAGAGTGATGAAACGGTGACAGTGTGGTTCGGGCTCAAGGGTCCTGTCTCCCTGTTAGGGCTTTACCCCTTGCCCCTAACCCCCCCCTTCCCACCTTCACCATCATCGGTCCTTACCCTCTGCCTGGGCTCGGTCGTTGTGGAGACCATGACGGAGTTGCAGATGGTTAGGGCGAGGAAGAAGTCAGCGATGGCGGCGGTGGTAGAGAGGGAAGGCTTGGCAGGTCTGGAGCCTGGCAAGGCCTCCAGCCACAGGGCAGCGTCCTGCACCTTGGTCAGCAGATTTTTGTCTGGAGTCACATCTTTTTCCTGAGAGAGAAAGGCCTGGGTGAGAATCTTTCCTGAAGGAAGGGGAGGAAGGCCCCTCCAGGTTCTGTGCATGCCTGGGGATACAGTCGTCCCTGCAGTCTTGCATCCAGCATATCTCCCTCTCCTGCAAGCCAGGTCATTACTGATTCTTATTGGACTCCTTCCCTTCCCTCACCCCACATGTCCATCAGTGATAGGTTCTGGCAGTTCTTTCCTCCCAGCAGTGTCTGCCCACCATTTGTCCCTCATTCCTGACGCTTCCAGCCAGGCTCAGATCCTCTAGCCCTCAATCCTGGGTTTCTGCAGCACCTCTAAACTGACATTGCTGCCTCTCACCTCGTTTCCTTCTAACCCTTCATGGGTCTCACCCGTGCATCTTCCTAAAGCACCACTTCTCCCAGGGTATTCTTGAGCTCGACGACACTTTGGGAGGTCATGTTAGCATGATCAGTTCACCCTGTCGTCTAAATCCTTTCCCAGTCCGCATTTCCACTCTCACTCCCATCACTTCTCCATGCAGACCCTCGGCTTAGCTGGGTGGTCTGTTTGCTGCCTCCTGGATGAATACTCCCCTTCTCCGCCTCTGATCTCACCTTGTTTGAAAAGTCCTCTCCTGTCTACCAAAATCCTACCTCGACTTTAATAACCAGGAGAAGTCCCATGTGTCCATGAAATCTTATCCAGTCCACCGTGAGTTAGTTCCCTGTCTTCTGAGCCACAATAGCAGGTTCCTGAACTCAATGTCACAGGAGTACATTTCCACAGTATAGGTGAGGACACTGCGGGATGGTGGGGGCTGGGAGACCCGGCAAGTCCTACTGCATCTAAAAGATGGCAACTGCTCTGCTAGTGAAATGCTCCAGTGATGGTCAAGTTTGCCAAATCTCTTGATTTTTCAAGATAAAGCAGAGATGATGTGAAAACTCCTCCCCCCCTTTTTAAATCTGTGGGCTGAATCTGACTGATGGTTTTCCAATTTTTGACACCTTTGTAGAAATTGCCACTTGTACCATCCTTTGAAATTCACCACATATCGACCTATATTTTAAATTCAAATTTCTTATGTCCTGTCTACAGATGAGGTTAGAGGCTCAAAGACAGAGACTGCCATTTTCCACAAATTTATGTCTTCTAGAGCTTTGTTTAAAGCAGAAGTTCAACAAACACCAGCTCTCAATAGCTATGACAAAAGCCATTCTGCGAAGAAGCTTCTACATAAGACCATTTCTATCAGTGTTCAGAGTTCACAGTTTAATGTGTAGAAAAAAGAATCCATGGCTGAAAAAGATGGACTGCGGGAATCTTGATCGATTCAAACAGAGTGAAAATGGAGGGCCAATGAGCCGGCAGGCTTTACAAATAAAAACCCAAATTGAGATTAAAAAAAAAATCCTGTGGAGGAAAATATCCTGACTGGATCTCCTCTGACTACCAAACGCAATGGCTCCAGAAGTCAGGTTCTGTCCTCCCTGGGGCTGCTGGCCCAGGTGAGAGCCAGAGGGGAGGAAACCCAGGCACAGGGTTTTCCAACAGCACAGGGCATTTAAAGGAAACAGGGGCTGGAGGTGAGGTGTGCTGGAGTGCACGCTCTCCAAAGGGTTTCAGCCTTCACGGGGAGTGCTCTCCAAGAGTCAACTCATATTATTTTAAGAAGACAACATCCAGAAAAACATCTATTCTTTAAAAAGTAGATGCTAGATGTTAGTAAAACTGCATCGTTTGCGTTTCCTTTCATTGCCCACTAAGTACTGATGGACCACCCACGCCATGCAATGCCACTATTTTCAGAAAGCTTGGGCAGGGTGCAGGCACCATCCACACTCTCTGCCTTCAAGTCCAGTCTTGGTAGCAGAAGCTCACATTGATGAAACTCTTCCTGCCTTTCCAAGCAATGCCATTTATGTGACCTGACTGGGTTCTCCCAGTTCCAAGCTGAGATGAAGCCAGTCCCAACTGAACAGAAACTCAGAGAAATGGGATGACTTGATAAAGGGCACCAGTGAGTAGGTGTAAAGCCAGAATCAGATGTCAGACCCTTGGGTTGTTAGTCTCGGGTTTTTCCTTTCTGTGGTCATGGGTAGCTATGTTCCATTATTAATGCTCCTGAAAACTCCTCTAACCAGATTCTAGGCTCCTCCTGTGCCCCTCATCAGTTTACCGACACCACTCAAGGAACCCTGAGCCCATTTCACCTAATAGTAATGACAGCTCCTATCCAGGTAGTGTATCTTATGTTCTGGGTCCATCCATCATCTCATTGTCTTTCACAGAGACATTATCTGTTGAGTACAATGATCCTCCCAGATACCCCTGTATTTCAGATGAGGAAACTGCTCCCCAGGGAGATTAAGTGTCTTGCCTGAGGTCACACAGTGAGTGGGAGAGATTCCTGCTGTTCATTTGAGGTGGTCTCACTTCATGCCCTCAATTTCCATTCCAGGGAAGAGCCCTATGAGAAGGAAGTGGCTTCTACAACTTGCTGACAGCATCATTGGTGTCTGGCATCCCAAGCACAACTGATGGGCTAGGATATCTAATCCTTAGGGCTCAGCAGATAGTCCATGAAATTCTAAGGGGAGTCTTCCTTTTCCAGGAAACGAATTTCACTGGGGGTGGCGGTGGTGGTGATGGTAGCACATGAATGAGATGCTTTTAACCCTTACCACAGATCCCCAGAGTTGGAAACATGCTTGGAGGTCATGAAGGCCAAACCCTCTATTTTCCTGATGATAAATCTGAGTGCCAGAGAGGAGGGAACTACTCAAGATTGTACCAAAAACTGGGCTCAGAACTAGGACAGCTTTCGCACCACCTGACTCCCATCCTCTGATAACACACTGCTTCGCTCCGAGCTATGCATTATGCATTTCCAAACGGTGACACAGTTAAAATGATTTGATGGTTATTTATTGCGTGTCCATAAGTGCCATGAGGGCCATAATGTGTCCCCAGTCCCTGGCTGGCTGCAGGCACTCAAACCTTTGTCGACTGGCTCCTATTGACACCATGATACCTCACCACTGATTAACTTGTGGCATCTTTGTTAAAACTCTTTAGTGTATTTCCACCCAATCCTACAGTTATGCACTAAAAAAGAAAACATCTCTGCAAAGGGATTACTTCTCTGGCATTGGCAGCAGGCCCAGCCTGAAGGTGTCAGCCGCAGATGTCACTTAAGCTTTATCCAGTCACCACAGACTTGCTTCCACAGGGCAAGGTTCTCCACAGTTCTCTTTGCCCACAACCCACTGGTTTCCTGTGTGGCCCATGAACATTTAAGAACTTGGCACTTAGGACACTCAGAGAGAAGGCAGTGCCTTGCTCACCTCTGGACACTTTGGCTAGTCTATTTTTATGAAGGAAAAGAAATACAAATTTTCAGGGCCACCAGCTGTTTAGATTAGTGCTTTGTGGCAGCCAGGCACCCAACCGATTGGGTTTCTTTCTATTGTAGACGATCTAAAGCTCTTATAAACCCTCTTTATAAGGAAGGTGATCTCTGACCTCACACGACACCCTTAAGGATCCTAGTATTATCATTAGATTACATTTACTGACAACTCAGAGAACATACATCATTTGTCATCGTAACAGCATTGAAAAAGTTACTATCATTCTCCCATTTTAACTGAGGCAAATGAGGACCACTGAAGTTAAGTAACTTGTCAAAGGTTACAAATTGAACAAAAGAACTAGGACTTGAACTCAGTTCTGCCTGATGCCAAAACCTGAACCCTTAAACACTATACCAGCACGCCCCAAACTTAACGTGCACACACATCAATGTGAAAACACAGATGCTGATTCAGCGACTCTGGAGTGGACTTTTTACAAGCTCCCAAATTGGTGTCCACATTACAGGTCCAAGAACCACAGTTTTAGTAGATACTGAGACATATAGAACTGGCAAAGGTGGGAGGAAGCAGGCCCTTCCATTTGTTGTTGGTGAGAGTCCAAACTGGGACAACCTCTTGGGAAGTATCAATCAAAATAAAAAAGTGCACACACTCACAATTTAGCAATTATGCTCTAAGAATAAATACTCTAGAATCACACATGCATAAAGAGATGACGGTTCAACCATCCAAGAAATTCCAACAGCCACTAAAAAAGGATCAGGCAGTGCTCCACCGAATGTCTGTCTGTCTACATATATGACATATTCCCCAAAATTCATTAGGTTAAAAAAAAAAGAAAAAAAAAGCAAAGTCCAAAACAGAGTGCATGGTATGCTTCCGTTTGCAGTAAAGGATGTGCTCAAGTGTATACCACACTTATTTGCTTCCAAGTGGGCAAAACAGCTCTGGGAAGGACACAGGGAAATTTATTTTTTATTTTTTATTTTTTTTTTAAGCTGAGCCATCCTGCTACCTGTTGGCAGCTCAGCGGCTGCTCAGCTCGGGCTGGACTCGAACCGCTGTTGCTCAGAGCTCAAACTCTTGAGCGAGCTCTTAACCAACTGAGCCACTCGGCCGGCCCACGGGGAACTTTAAACAGTGGTTGTCTCTGGGGTGGTGGGGAACAGAGGAGGGAGACCTACTTCCTCCCATTTGCCCTTTGGTCCTTCGGATTACTTAGCCATGTGGCTGTACTACTATCATGAAGCAACTTTCCTGCTTGCTGACGAGCTGGAGGCTGAAATATTGGTGAAGGCAGCGAGGTTTGCCCTAGCTGATGTGGTGGCCTTGATGATACTGAGTTTGGTTCAAGAACAGGGACAGATCAATGTTTGTAAATTTTTGGTTAAATAGAAATGTAAGCCCCAAAGAAACAAACAAACAAACAAACAAAAAACTCAGTGGCCTAGCAAGAAGGGAGTTTTCCAGATATTAGAAGATCCCACCCTTTGTGAACGGGGCCACTGCAGCCATGCAGCCCCACAGTGAAGCACAGCAGAGACAGGCCTCATCTGTTCCTGCCTTTGTGTTCATATCACTTCCCGAACCATTTTTGTGTGCCTGGCTACTTAAATCAGGACTCTTATCTAACCTTCCAGTGGGAGTGTGCATATGAGTGTGTGTGTGGGTGGTCCCCACCAGCCTGGAACAGACTGGCAGTGCTGCACAAATCTCTTCCAAAGAAAGAAAGGAAGGCCAAGATTAAGAAAAGGGGGTAGAGGACCAAAGATACCTCTTTTACTTTCCTCTATTGCTGTCTTTCAGGAGGGGTGGAAGGGACCAGGCCCACAGGAGGAAGTGGTGGTGACATTTGGAGGCGAGCCTAACTGGCTCCAAAGCAAATTTTATGATTAGGAAGATATTCTTTGGTCTGATGGTTCTGGAAAACATTTTGCAAGTAGCACCTCTAAACAAAGATTCTTTGCTCAAATCTTAGCTGCTTACAGACCAGGAAAAAAAAAAAAGGCACCTCATTTTCCATCCACCAGTACTATTAAACACTGGGCAGCTCTCCACACTTTCATAAGTATATCACCCCACCCTAAAACCACAGATTTTATAGCAGTCAATTAGGCAACAAATGGCCGATGCTTCCTTGTTCTTTGTAGTAAAATGAAAAAGGCAGCTTTAGTTTTGGTTTAGAGTGAGAAGCCAAGGAAACCAAGAACAGGCTTCTTTAGAATGTGGTAGGGTGTGCTCCTCCACAGCCTGGCTCACCGGGTTTCGGGAGCAAGTTCTGACTGAGTTTACAACGGGAAGGTAAATAGCTGGTGATGCCAAGCGATGATCAAACCAGGAGGAATGCCAGGCGGGCAGGTGGAAGGGGAGGCGAGCTCGGGGAGCCTGCTGGGGTGGGGCGGGGCAGGAGATCCACTGGGGTTGCCCTGGACGCTGTCCATGGACTAAGTAAAGGATCCGCCACTCCAGCCGCAGACATTTTACAGGTTAGTGTCTGGTCCCTTTAAGGCAGCATCAATCACCCACTTTGGCTAATGCCCTCTAAGCTGTGGGAGATGCCTATTTGAGCCAAATGTAGACAAGTTCCCAGTGGGACAACGGTATTGCTTAGAGAGGTTCTCAATCGTGGATGCTCAGTAGAATCATGAGAAATAAAAATATGAATATCGAGGCCCTACACTTGACCAAATACACCAGAATCTAAAGGGAAAGGGCTCGACACTGTATTTACAAAATTTCCCATGTCCTTTCCAAGTCCCTAGATATGTGACCATTTGCCCAAAGCAGCGGGTTTTCCTTCAGAAAGATCATTTACAACTTCTATTAGTTATCCATCCGTCTAGAACACTGATTGTAACAATTATATTCTCAAAATAAACTCATGAAGCAGGGCCGGCCGAGTGGCACGATCGGTTAAGAGCTGGCTTGGGATGCCAGAGGCCCCCGGTTTGGATCCCACATATGAGGGCCAGTGACACTGCCCTCTACAAACAAAAACAAAAACAAAAACTCATGAAGCAAAACAATAATGCTTTTTAAAGATGTGAATGTTGAAACTTCCGGCTCAGTCAGTTGACCAAAGTCACAGAGCTAATACACGGTGGAGCTGAGATGAGAACCTGAGGAGTCTCACCCCACGTGTGCCTAATGTATAGTTGGAAGGGGCTTTGCAGCTCAGCACAAACATGATGTTACTGGATTTTTTGAACAGTTGGTGAGAGTTGTAAAGCAAAGTATTTTCAGATGATAAAATAAGGACAGAGGTTACGCATGTGGCTTCAGGTTTTCCAGACCTGAAACCAGAACCTATGTTTCCTGGCCCTTAGCCCAGTACCCTCCCTAACAACAACCTGGGGATGCTATTGTCCCACTAACCCCAGATTTTCAAGCAACCAAACGGTAGAATGGCATATGTGGCAGTTCATAAAGAGGACACGTCACCATGCTCACCTGCCCAGACAACAAGGATTGGGTCTTAACCTATGTGTCCATTTCCTTATTGTTCCTGAATGAACTTAGAACTGCCTTTGAAAGTGCCAGCCAGGGCAGAGTTATGACATCCAGGACGCAGCGATAGTGCAGAGGTTAATGCGTCCCTTTTACTGACTATCAGCTAAGGGCCCTGAATAAAACTTATCCTGGCTGGCTCAAGGTTGCAGTTTTTCTGTGCGACTAAGATTTGTCAGGTTAAACTGGGGGCAGTGAATCTGTGGGTCCCAACTGAGAACCACAAAGGAAGGTTCCTTTTCTCTCCCTGTGTCCTGGGGGGGACATTCTCAGACACATGGGATACCCATGAGTACAGCTGAAAGATCCACACATTGAAAACCTAGAATTTGTGCCAAAGAGAAATTACTGAATTCACTGTTCAAATATTTAGGTAAAGAGCTGGGGGAAGCGCATTCCATTCCGAGGGGACAGAATTAAAGAAGAGAGAGAGACTTCACAAAACGCATGTCCTGTTACCTCAGATGGGAAAATCAAAGAGAAAAACAACACACCAAAAATCTTCCCGAAGGCATCTATGGGTCAGTCCTCTTGTATGTTTATGAGCATCATGTCTTAACACTTTGTTGTTGGTTGTTAAACATTGCATTTCTGTGCATAATAACAGAAGCAAGTTAACTCAACTTTGTACTCAAAGTTAGAGAAGTAACAACCCAAAAAACACAGACTCACAGCATTTCTTCCTTGTTACAGCCAAAAACATAGTCTTGGGTTATGAATACAAAAGGTAGCAATGTGGACAATGCTTTTGATATAATGCCAGATTAAAAAAAACACACACACAAAATCCAACACCTATAATTTACATGTACTGTAACTGCAAAAATGTTAACTATATATAGTTATGTGTGTTAGCAACGAGGGAAGTAAAAGACTGGAAGAAAATTCTCCCAAAGGTCCATTTTTGATATTCTAATACTGGGATAATAGCACTTCAGGTCCCTCTTTTACTTTGTGTTGTCTTATTCAAGATAGCTGTGGACTTTTCTGTAAGTGCAGAAGGTTCCAGATGGTGTGTTTTCTAGAGAAAGAGCATGGTGCAGAGGAAAGTGAAATGGGGCAGGACTCCGAAGGCCCTGGTTCTGGCCTTGACTTTTAGGGAACGCCGTGTAATCTTGGGGAAGGATCTCAATCTTTTCATCTGCTACTTAAAACAGTTTCTGTCGGCTGTCCCAGTGGATCAAATGTGAAGGGACCATATGCAGAAAGCCCCAGACCAAAGCTGCAGAGTCGAATGGCTGTAGAGTCCAGGCAGTTAACCTAAGGGAGTGAAGCATGCTAGCTGATTTTGATACATGTCTTTGCTTCAAAACAATTCAAGACTATTTTTGATGATCACAAAAAGAGAAATTCTTTCATTTTTCTTGAAATGCAAAAGCCTGTAGGCTTATCTTGTTTTTCTACTTTATTGAAATTCGGGCACGGCATTATTTCTCTTTCCTCTTAACTGTATATTGGGAAAACATGCACATCGGACATGCTGCTGGCCTTCAGCTCAGTAATGGGGATAAACAGGGGGTGGGGGTGGGGGGTTATGCTGAACTGACGATCACATGCCCAGTCTAAGAGGTGTCAACTTCTTAGTTCAAGCCAATTACTGCCACAAGGAAATGCTGGCTTAGCGTGGAGAATTTTCCCAATTCCATTTTAAAATAGAAGCCAGAAATCTGTATGTTTATACGAAATCTCCCAATTTCTAAATACTGAACATTTGAAATGAACACATATTGTAAATGCCCAACAAAGCATGCATGTGAATTACATTCAAGACCAAGGGCTGCCATTTTGAGAGCTCTTCAGGGTTTATGTGGTCTTTTCTCTCACATTCCAGAGCCCTCCCCTATTTCTCCCCAATAGAGGCCACTTGCAATTGAAAGAGGAAAAGGCAGGGACTTACTAGGGAGCTGCTGAAAGCCACAGGAGACTGTGCGTTTTCCCAGCGCCCCAAGGACCTTTGTCGAGAGTGGCCCTGCATGGGCACCCGGGCACTCTGGCATCTCCTCAGAGGCTGGGCCCCTCCTTGGTTTCTTGCTGCTGCTGGGTTCTGGGCCCATCTGGCTGGGAAGGACAGACACTGGTACTGGGTCCACTCTTCACTGTCTGAGTCCAGTTCCTTTGGGGTCTCCAGTCGCTTGGCTGCAAGAAAGGAGTCCTGTTGTTGCCCCAGTCATACCTCGGCCAGGCCATGGTTAGGGAGATCCAGGCTTTGGGAGTGGAGGTAAGAGCACAGAGGAAGATCGCTGTACTGCTCTGGAAACGAGGGAACTGCTACCTTGACTGGAGAAGGGGGCATGTACCTCAGTCACACAGGTTCAAATCCTGGCTCTGCTACCCCCAAGCTACATTGAGCTGTGACTGAACCTGTGCCTCTATGTCCTCAATAGGAGTTGTAAAAAGTACCTAACTCATGGTTGTTTGAAGGCTGAATTGATATAGTGTGTTCAAGTGATTAGCATACTCTAGGTACTGATGTTTTTATTATTGAAAAGGATTAGAAGCTCCCATATATTAATAAATGGTTACCACTGTGGCAAAGGGAATTGGGTGGCCTATAATAGCACTTTCTTTGTCTTTGTCCATCCCTCCCACTCAAAAGAATGAATGCTGCTCTCTTTAGAGTTCCTTCTCTTAGAAAGTCTGTGTGTGGGGGGAGGTGAGTGGAGCTGAGGGAATCGGCTTTATAGGCCACTTTCAGTCCATGCAAGGTGACAGTCCAGGCATTTTACAGCCACATCTCCTAAGACGAAGCTTTACCTCAGTTAGAAACCAAGAGATCAGCTGGCATGGAAGGCATGTTTTGGGCGTACCAAATCTGACAGTGCCTAGACCTATGCCTGTCCTTTCAGGTAAGTTGACCTGAGAAATTCTTAAACCTTGTCTGTATGACTGGTACATACTTTGGACATGTCCCCAGTTCATTCCTGACAGATAAAAACGCTGTGTGCAAATGGCACCAAAGATCAACTGAAGGGTTACTGCACAGGAGATCACTGATTGCCTTGTGAAGAAACGAAAGTTTACCAGTGATTGTGACAAGGAGGCCTAAAGGGATGTCGGAAGCCGCACAGCCTGTGTGAGGAGCCAGGATAATGTCTTTCATTGCTGTTCTCTTAGAAGAGTGGGGTGATTCCTTTAGGAGGAGGGGTGAGGGGGTCCCTGGGAGCCTCCGTACCATTTTCTTGGTGAGAATACTCGTAGCCCATGATGGTGCAACGCCGGAACACCATCTTGTTCTCGGTCAGCGTCCCCGTCTTGTCCGAGAAGATGTACTGGATCTGACCCAAGTCCTCCGTGATGTTGAGAGCCCGACACTGAATGGACAGATCGGTCTCTTCATCATACAGGTCAAGGTCATTGTGCAGGAAGAAGACTTGCCCGAGCTTCACCAGCTCAATAGACACGTACAGGGAGATGGGGATCAGCACCTGCAGAGAGAGGGACTCTGGAGTCAGGAACAAGGAGGAACCCTGTCTCAGGACCCTCACTAGTGGGTAGAAAAGGCATTCAATGGAAAGCTGAGGTCAGCTCACGTAATCAGTTTAATGGACTTGCCCTGAGAAATTAAAGGTCCGTGACTTCATCATGCCTTTCTTGAAATTCTTAGGGGAACCTGAAAAAGGGATATGCCTTCTTCACCTGGGGTGTCTGGTATGAGGCAGGCACTTGCCATTGGCTCTGTAATAGCTGAGTGGGGCGGGCAAGGAGCTCTGCTGCTTCTGCCCAGTGTCCTGACCCCCACGGATCTCTATGACCCCTACTTTCACAGGTATTTGGATCCCTTGTCGATCACTGTCCATTGATTTGGTACCTAATATCCTTCCAACGCTTGCTGCGTGTCACGTGTTGCTCTAGGTCCTGAACATTGCAGTGAGCAGAACAAAATCCCTATCCCTGAAGACCTCACCCTCCAGTAAATGAGCAAAAAATTATACGTGGGGTGGTGGTCAGTCTCATGAAGAAAAAGTCAAAGAGGTAGAGAGTGATGGTCAGGAGGCACTCTTTTATAAACCACGACCTCAGCTGATACCGAGGAAAGGAGGGTGAGTCGTGAGGTTATACGTGAGAGGAGGAATGTTCTGGGCCAAGGCTGGGTGGTGGGAGTGGGTTGGATGTTTGGGGGTTAAGAGTAAGCAGGCCTTGAACATGAATGAGCACAGCAAGGAGACAGGCCAGGGAGGGAGTCAGGGTCGGGGTCACTGACGGCTGGGCTGCTGTGGGAAGGGCTTTGGATTTCACTTTGAAGGATGTGAAGCCATCAGAGGGTTCTGTACAGGGCAGGGGTGTGATCTGATTCACATGGAAGAAGGATTACAGTGTTAAATGAATGAATGAACTAGTGATTTAAAAAGGTTCACCAATTAAAGGACGAGGAAACACCCTCATATAGCATAAAAATCTGAATGTAGATGAAGCTTTATCAAAACAAACCTATAAAGTTCCTCATCTTTTTTCATAGGTTGTGATTTCTTATAGAGCCTGAAGATTTTTTTTTTTTAAATTCATGTCTTTATTCCTTACTGCCTAACCTGCGGTTTCTTTCTCTTAATGAGTAGGGCCTGACAGTTCTCTGCAGTTCTGTGGGCTACTTTATCCTCTTTTGTTCTTCGGTCGCTAGGGTTTTACCTGTTCTATATCTGGCAAAGTGCCAGGCACACGTGGGTCACTGCTGGAATCTTACTCTTATGTAGAAAAGCCTGATAAATATTTCCTTCCGCTATTATCTGGGGGCAGGATCCCGTCCACAAGGCAGGGCTGGTCCTGACATGACCCCAAATGTGAATACTTTCAAAGACCCACAAGAAAGCAACGAACGTTTCCCCATCTCAGTCCAGTTAGTTCTTTCTTGGGGCCAGCACTGATTTTTCTTTCTCCCACAAAGTTGTCCAGGTATTGGCCACAGGTCTTCTTAAGTCCCTAGGTAGGGGGTCTTCCTACCTGGAGCAGGATGATCATTGTGAGGAACATGTAGAAGCCCCCGAGGGCAAGGGGAAGGAAACCGCCCTTGGCATCTGGCACGTCGAAAGGAGGGTGTTCGCTGAAGGTTCTATTCCAGAGGCTGTGACCTGAGAGGAGGCACAGCCAGGATGAGACAGAATCCCTGCTTAGTCCTACAATTGATCAATTACATCAGTCCTTGGCCTACTCCCAGCAATGAGTGTGCTTTCATGGAGCCCGTCTTTATTCTACACAACATAACTCTGTGTGTGTGTGTGTGTGTGTGTGTGTGTGTGTGTGTGTGTGTGTTCATTTATCTCTAAAGCGGTCCTTCATATAACCTACATTTCAATCGCTTGATAGGCATTAAGTCTGTCCTACCAGAGTGACTAGCATGGGGATTACTTACATTTTGAGGAAGTTCTGTTGTATAGGGGTTGGAAAGAGTGAAAAGGGCACGGATTCTTTTCAGTTGTCTGGTGGAAAATGCATGGCTGGGGAGTCTTGACAGAACTTGACCCTAGTCCCTCTTCCCCCACGCACTCCTCATCCAGTTATCCACCCTTCATCCATTCACCTACTCATCCATCCATCTCTTCATCCATCCGTTCGTCTATTGCTCTCTCCTTCCCTCCCTCCCTCTCTATCTCTGTTTATCCACTCTTTCCTGACTCCTTTCCTCTCTCCCCTCTATCCAACATTTATTAATTCAAGAAGGAATTGGTCCAACTTCTTGTCCTTGATGAGTTCCGTACCAAGTCAGGGAGCCAGGGACAAATCCCGTACAGTGCTGGGGGTGCCAGGCCAGAGCCTGGAATGCTGTGAGCGCTCCCAGTAACAGCACCTGATGCGGAATGAACCCTCTGCTTCTGAGTCTGTGAACGGGGATAACAACAGCCATCTTCTGCGGACTGACAAGAGCTCTCCTGCTGCAGAGCTCTCTGTATCTCAGCGTCCCCTTCTGTCAGTTAGTAACAATACCTTCTCCACAGGGTTGTTGTGAGAATAGGATGGTTCTAATGTGCAGAATGCGCTCAGCTCCAGGAGAGGAACTACAGGGAGGAAAAGGCAGAGGGAATACTGCCATGTCCCTATGACACTTCTTTGCCCAGGAGGTTAGGACAAATGATGTCATACGTGGTAGCGGAAAGGAGACTGACAGATATGAATTATTTGAAGGAAATATTATAGAGCAAATGATGAAGGGCCAACTCTATGGCACAGAGGAAGGGCCAGAAGCCTTTAGATGAGCCTGAGACCCTGGGAGAAACCAGAGGAGGCTGCATGGAGGAGGAGGCCTTGAGCGGTCCTGGAGCCTGGGTGGGTGTGGGGTGATCAGAAAGGCCTGGGGAGGACATTCTGGGCCGAGACAAAAGAAGCACCACCTTCACACAATCCAAGTAAACATGTGACAAAGAACCTGACAACATTGTTCAGGGAGCGCTTTCACCCCCTGCACAGCTGTACTAAAGTGCCAGCAGGGGCCCGGCACTGGCTATGAGTCACCCTTCTCAGAAAGAATAGGGTTCTGCCCCTCCCCATAACTTTCTCAGTGTACCATTTGGGCAATCTGCCAAGCTGACTCCATTTGCCTGCACCTTATCTCCCCGTGTGATCTTTTAACCATTAACGTCCTTCCCTCGGAGACACAGTGAGATGATCTCAAATGTCCTTTCCAGCCCTGACTTTCCTTGAAAAACCTATCCTGAAGCAGAGGCCGCAGTTCTTGCAGCCTCTTGGGAGAGCACGAAGGTAGCCACACAGGGACCGTTCCCTGGCTTGCCTGCTTCCCTCTCCCCCAGGGGCTCCCCTCCCAGCTGTGAGCCCCTGCAAGTGGACTGCCATTAGACACATCTGTGAACTGTATTCCTTAACTCCGGGCGCCCTACAAGACTAAATCTCATCATCTTTGCTGTGGCAGCACACACAATCTCTTGGGGCCTTAGGAAGGTCTCAGCCTTTCCGACGACGGTGGCAGGGTAAGAGCAAACACCACGATGCTCACTGGGTGGGGTCAACAGAGGGTTCAGGACTCAGCACAGGAGTTCTTCCTGTTGCTCTTCCTTGTTTTTTTTCTGAGGCCTCCTTTAGGGTCCTGAGGATCACCCTTAGGAGCGAGGGGCCCTCTGTGCCTACACTCTGAGGATCAACTGAAACGGTTGGGGTCATTCGTGTCCATGCCTCCCGCAGCACTCCACGCTCAGCCGTCGTGGAACTGGCCCACAGCCTGGTTCTCATCGGCTCTGCATCCTTGGTCTTGCTCTTGCCACACCACACAGCTCAGTGCTCCTAAATGTGCCTAAAATGGTTCTCCTTTCTGACTCTGTGCTTTGCTTGCACTGTCCCTCTTTTCACAGCTGCCTACCCCACCCTGCCCCTGCCTGCTACCTCCTGTGGCAAATGCCTATCAACTGCCTCTTTAAGGAAGACTTCCTTCCTTGATGCCCCCGTAATACCTGTAGTCGGATGACTAACGGCCCCCCTAAGGGGTCCACGTCCCTAACCCCTGGGCCCTGTGAATATGCTGTCTTACATGGCAAAAGGAACTTTGCAGATGTGAACAAGTTAAGGGTCTTGAGATGAGGAAGGGTATCCTGGGTCACTCATGGGCCCGATGATGTGATTACACGTGTCCTTATAAAAGGGAGGCATAGGGAGATACCACTGCAGAAAAGGAGAAAAACACGTGCGCAGAGATCAGAGTAATACACTGTGAAGATGGAGAAAGAAGCCATAAACCAAAGAATACGTGAGGCCACTAGAAGCTGAAAAAGACAGGGAGAGATCGCCCCTCAGAGCCTCCAGAAGGAGCCCGCCCTGTTACCACCTTGCTCTTATGACACCGACACTGAGTTTAGACTTCTGAACTCCAGAGCGAACAGAATTAGATCCGTGTTGTTTTAAACCACCATGTGTGTGTTCACTTTTTGCAGCAGCCAACAGGAAACAAATACAGTGCTTGCATGTGGCCCTCACTGCGTGGGATGGACTGTGTTACTGATCCTGGGCTCCTTCCTGCAGGACTGGGAGCGCCTCTGACTCACCTTGTTAGCCTCTCCCACTAAGAGAGTGCCTGGCTTTGTAAGGGCTTCCGGGACAAATAAATGATAGATGGTATTCTTAATATTTCGAGTCTATCACACTTTCTGGAGATCTTTCCACATGAATTTTTAGTTCACTGGCATCCTGTTCAAGTACAGGGTAGGTTATATTTTTTTATGAACTCTGTTTTATACATGAGGAAACAGAGTGCTCAGAGAGTTCAAGCAACTTGCCCAAAGGTTAAAAAAAAAAAGATTACTGTGGTGGTGTTCCTTCCAGAACTTTCCATACCTACAGCTCCAACGAGGCACATGAGGAAGAGGAGGCCGATGCAGAAGAAGACATCCACGTTCATGCGCCGCTCGATCTTGCTGCGTTTGTACCGGGGGCCGCTGTTGTTCAGCATGGCTTTTGTCTCGTGGCCTTTGAGAGAAAAATGAGATTATCAGTCCCTTGGCCCCTGTTTGCTCTCTGACCTGGATCATAGTCCCAGCTTTTCTCGTAGGAGCTTACGGGGGAAAAGAAGGCTTCCTTCTGTAACCTGACCTGGTCCTGCCTCAGCGCGGTTGCTGATGACAGCCATAGAGGCCTCACCTATGGTCAGCAGGTATTTACTGAGCATCCCCTACAGGCCAGACACTGGTGGGCATTTGCAGAGCTGCGATGCACAGGTTGTGCACTGCACAACTCTAGCGGTAGTCCTCATTTTGTGGTTGTTATAGATCTGTAAGTATTATGACACATTTCTGTGTTGAGGAAGGGCTATCTTTTTCCAGTTTGCACAGAGGCACTGATATGGGTCAGTGTTGGAATACAGAGTTAAAACAAATGACTCAACATTCTGGTGAAAGTACACAAGGAAACAAACAAGCTAACTGTAGTTAGTAATAAGTCCCATGAAATAAACAACAAACAAAGGGCTAGTGTTAGAAAGCACAGTTAGGGAAGGCTTCTTAGCAGATGTGACATTTAAGGGAGACTTGCAGGGAGAGAGAAGAGTTGAGAGAAGAGGTGTGAGGCTCGGGAAAGAGTGCGTGCCAAGGCCCTGGGGCAGGACACTGCTTGAGGCCCATAATTTGCACACTTGTCTTTTTGCCTAAGTGCGGATGCAAGAGCGGCAGGGACCAGAGGCCTCCACCCCAGCACCAACCCTGTGCAGCTCCACTCGTATCTTAGAGTTCTGCCTAAAATTTTGTTCAAAGAAAGGACAACAACATTTGAAAACTACCAATCTCATCCAGTTACTCCTTTTTCCAGTTGGAGAAAAGTAGAAGAGACCTGCCCAAAATGAAAGAATAATGCCCAAAATGAAAGAGTAAGTGAACACCAGCCTATGTCTCCTTCCACCAGCCCCAGCACTCAGGCTACAGAGGGAAGGGCTGAGAGTCAAACGCAGACATTGTCTGTAGACAGGGCCTGTCTTTTGGGGCTGCTAAATTTTAAGTACTATGCTATACTCCTTAGCAGTTGAATTAAAAAAACCACCAGTCAACTTATTTTCTGTGCAAAATTAAAGGAAACCAACCTATCAGCTCCCGCAGTGAATGGGTTTAATGCTGTTTAGCGGGTTGCCCTGTGGATTTAAAGTGGCAACAACACAGTAGGAGTGAACAAACTCTAGGCTTATTAAATTAGACTCGAGTCACTGCAGTGGTGAGGGGGCTTCTATGGCACAGCGAGCGCAGGCTGTTGATGGCACTGTACCTTCCTGCGAGACTCAGGCTCACCCTGTACAAGGGGTCCTGGGACCACCCTCTTCAAACACCTGTTCCTCACCTCCTGAGATCCCCTGCTCTTTAGGCAGGAGTTGGACTCAAGGGGGAGGCGGTATGGGGTAGCGATTAGAACATGGGCTCTAGAGTCAGAGCTAGGCTCTGCAGACACTTGACCGTGGATCACATGGAATTCATCTCAGGAGACATCTCAGTGACCTTGGGTGAATTAATCCCTTTGTACTTCAGTCCGTCATCTGCAAAATGGGAGATAATGGTTGTATGTGTGTGTTTGGGGTGGGGGAGTACACAAGGCACCTAAATGAGTTCCTTGTACACAGGAGGAGCTCCAGGAATGTTTGCTGTGAGGAGCAGACGCCTTTACACTGAATCTCTTCCCTCTGGAAAGCTCGACGTGGCCTGTTTGGGCCTTGGACTCTGAGGTGCTCCTATTTTGTCCATCCACGTTACCAAGGGAGAGAATAGGACTCTAGGCCAGTCGTTCTCAAGGAGGGGGATTTTACACCTCAGAAGGCATTTATCAATGTCCTGAGAAATTTTTGGGTGTTACATCTTGAGAAGGTGGTGCCAATGGCATCTAGTGGGTAGGAGCCAGCCCCCTGCAGGGCAGCCCCCACCACAAAGAATAACCCGGACCATCATGTTAGTAGAGTGAAGGTTGGGCTCCCTGGCTGCAGATAATAACGCTAAAAATGATTAGCACCATCTTTGCTCACACTTTTTGAGAGCCTAATATGTGCCAGGCATCGTGTTATGCCCTTTTCACAGATCATCTTATTTGAACCTTATAACCCACAAAGTAGGAACTATTAGTCCCCTTGGGTTGAAGCTCAGCCGCCCAGCTCAGGAACAGGCAGCCACTGAGTGCAGGTAACCCCAGCAGCCTGATCCCCCAGAACCATGATGAATTATATCTGTATCTGCTCCCTTACATACCACTCCCATCACCCACTCAGAGTTGCTTTTGCATCTGATCACACAGGGAGGTGAGCTCTAAGCCTATATGGGTATTTTTGTGGGGTGCGGTAGGGATACTGTACAGTTCATCTTTAGTGGGTCTTCCAGCTGGCACTGAATTCTGTGGCCAAAGACCCTTGAAAACAGTCCCCTGAACTGACAAATACAACCTCCCTTCCCCCAAATTAGGAAAAGCTAGTTAGACCGTGACATTATTAAAAAAAAAAAAAAAATCTCCAAAACCCCCCAAACCTGTTTTTCTTTGACAGTCCCCCAAAAGTGAATCTTAGGGTAGATAGATGTTTAAATGCTCTTCTATATCCATCAAAAGTGGGGTCCTACTCAGACAAAATCAAATCAAATCAAACAAACCAATAAGCAAACAAATTATTACGAGGTATGCCCCAGTGAGTGAAGGACCCAGGGAAATGTATTCTGGAGTCTACCAGTGAAGGTAGACGCCTCCGGGAGACTGTGTTTCCCCTACAGAGCAAGAAGTCTGCCGTTGTTGACATAACAACATGTATTTACTGAGAACCCATGGAACCCCAGCTACAAGGTACTGGGGATACTGCATTCTTAAGACTGCCCTCTAAGACTTTAGATTTCATTGTGAAAAGTGCTTGCTACTATTACCCTTTTTTTTTTTTTACCCCTGCGGGAAATAAAAATTACAGTGCAAAGGAGAGAAAGGCCACCATAACTGGAGCCATAAAATGAATAAAGGGAATAAAAACTTAACTGCAAAAACAACACAACTAAAACCCATCATGCCTTTGCTTGCTAGGTACAGTGCTTTTCATGTGTGGGGTCATTGGAGCCTCATGGCTACTCAATGAGGCAGATACAAAAAATATTCCCATTGTATAGATGAGGAAACTGAGGCACCAAAGGTGAAGCCGTTGAGTTTGGTGAGGTTATCCCTCAGGCTTACTGTTCACCTTGCCTGTAGTTAGTGTAGCAGGACCATTAGAGGTGAATGAGTGGGAATCTCCCTCCTGTCTTGTTCAGATCAGTGATGGGAACTTGAAATCTAACTATGTCTCCTGTGGACCGAGGGAGCTGCTATGATTCCAGCCTCAGTTTGCTCAGCTGAGAAATGGGATGTGACATGACTCTACCCCTTAGAACTGATGTGAGTTCCCACGGACTAGAGATGGATTTGATGGAGGAAGGAGGATAAAGGAAAGGGACAAAAGGAGGTGTCCAGGGACAATGACCTGCATAGATGACAATGCCAACAGCCACCTCGGTGTTTCTGATGGTGCAGCCTCGAAGCAGAAGGCTCTCACTGCCAAAGCCGGTCCTGGTCTGGTCAGGATGCTCCCTGGGGATGAGGAAAGACAGGGAGAGGTTTGGTGGCCTCTCCACGCTGTCACCGGTTATAATGCTGTCTCTAAGGGATGACATAACTAGAAGTGGTGAGTGAATACAATCTGTCCTTCCTCTTTTTCAGAAGAGTGACATTAACTTGGAACCCAATCCCTATGTTCAGGTGCAACTCTTTATGTTCCTGGGAGGCCTGGTGGGGGCTGGGCCATTAGAAGGGAATTACCCATCCCTAAGAAAATCGTCATTAACCCACCAAAAAGGCAGAACTCTGCTGAAAAAGCCTCGGAATGGTTTGCGGGGGAACTGGTTTCTGGCCCTACAAGGACTGCGTGCGTTGTGTTCCCTTTAGGCTGTGTTCACACGCTCAGTGTCACCCAGCTGCAGGGACCAGAGCTGCACGAGCTGAATGTCAGCGTCCATAGCAGAGGCCAGCAGTTCCGCCTCTTGTACCAGGAGACGGTAAGGAAGGGAGCTCGCAGGCTCCTCTCGTTTGAGCTCCATCTTTCACTCGGCCTGGCTGCTGTACTCTCCTCCTCATTCTCCATCTCTTATAGAATAAACAGACCTCACAGGAGGTGGACACTGGCCCTTTGTGCAATGCACTGGGAGGCGGCCTCTTACAGGATAGAGGTTTTTTTCTTGTTCTAGCCTCAGGGAGTGTTGCAGTTTTCCACCTCAAACGCTAGAAAATTCTGAGTCTGACTCACACCAGTTATTACTTGGTGTCTGACCCTTATTCTATCCTGAAGCCTTTCCTTTGGGATTTTCAAGAAGTTGAAATGCAACTTCTCTACAACATTGGGGGAAACAGACAAACAATAATCAGGACCCTCAGGGATTTTTGTCCTTCCAGCTCTTCGTTATGTCATGTCTCTAGGTCCAGTTGTAAGTGTTTTTCATGGATTAATTCAATTAATCATCATGACAAGCTTGTAAGATAGGTCATTATCATACCCACTTTAGAGACAGGGAAACGGAGGCAAGGTCCTAGAGCCAGTAAGGAGCAGAATGAGAGGCAAACCGAGAAAGTCTGGCTCCAGGATGTCATACTGCCTCTCAACATGCTTTTAATACTAACTATTCCTGCCTGTGTTTGCAAACTACATTTACGTAAGTTATTTTATTTGACTCTTCATGGCTCTGGGAAGTAAGCAGGGTGATTATTCTTCCTCGTGAAACAAGTGAAGCTCAGTGGAGGGTGAGAGAGTTTCCCGAGGCCACACATCTAGTCCACGGGACATCACAGGACTCGGGAACCCAGGCCATAGACACCAACCCTCACGCGGTTTTCGCCACACTAGGTGTCCCAAGGTGGTGCCCTGTTAACTTGCACTAAATTAGAGTCATTTCCATTTGTAATTCTTCAGAATCCAACAAGGAGATGTCTTAGTTTTGTGTCAGTATATTGTTAATTCGTTTCTAGCACTTACATAATCTAATTTTTCAACACAGAGGCGGCTTTGGCAAATAATGCAGTCTGTAGTGAAACGATTCGGTTGTCGGAAAAGTCAGGCCGTATTTTTTTCTATGTTTTTCGTTGCAAAAATGCGTCATGACTTTTCCGACAACCCAATATATAATGACCCCTGTTTTGATTCCATTTTATTAATTTTAACAGTACCTTATCTACATGGCAAGAGATACAGGTTTCCCATAGGGCCAGTGATATACATTTCCCTTTTAAAGTAAATTAAGGGGGGAAAAAAAAGCCAATTAAAAAAATTTGGTACCAAAAAAGTACGGGTGTTTTATGACTGTGATACAAATCATAAAGGTGGTCCAGGAATGGCCGAAGTTTAGGACGCATGTCTCCTTATCAAGGAGGGAGCTGGCTGTGGAGGGAATAGTGGGATAGAATCTCGAATGGTTCACTGTCGGTAGCTAGCGGTTGAAAGACCATGTTGATGTTGCTCTGAGGTGATAACATGATAGCGGCTTCTACTTCTTCAGTTTTTCGGTGGGTGGTAGCAAAGGATTAGCACTGTCATGGCTGCTCCTAGATGGGGGGCTCCTGCTCATAGGGATGCTTCGTTTAACTGAGGCCAGGGCACTTTCTCCACTTTCAACCACTGACATTTTGGGAAGGACCATTCCTTGTTGTGGGGTGTGTCCTGTGCTTTGTAGGGTGTTTGGCAGCATCTCTGGCCTCTACTCACTAGATGCCAGGAGAACCCTTCCCTAATTTTGTGACAACCCAAAATGTCTCCAGACATTGTAAAGATCCCCTTGAGGATGGGATGGGGTAGGAGGAATTGCCCCGGGGTTGAGAACCACGCTCTATAGAGATCTTTTTGTTTAAAAGTTACATTCTCCAATCTGACGGCCCTAGCCTACAGACAGAGCGTTGAAAGGGACCCACAGTGAGGAATTTTCCATCACACCATGGTTGGCTACTGGGCTGACCAACTGGACCTTTAGTGCTCACCCATGAGGCCCAGGCAGGTGGGGGGAAGGCCATCCCTCGGGGCAGCAACTGGGAAGAGGGGTGCTGGTGGCTAAGTGGACATGGGAAAGCTCTGTCTGAGATGGCGGGGACGGAGCCCGGGTTGAAAGCTCAGAAAGGCTGGCTACTAGCACAACCTGTTTGGGATCAGAAAGGACAATAGATAGAAACCCAGCACTGAGGCTGTTCTCTAAGAGGAAGGAGAACGACTCCAGGCACAGGTGACTTGGGATGAACCAAATCCACAACCTCAGGCACGCGGCGTGGAGTCCTTGCTGGGCAGGTGCCATGCTCCACTCTGCTACGAAGCCTCCTCTCCCCCAGGAGGTCATGCCCTTCTCTGGCTCTCCCTGTGCTTTTAAAAAGGCATTTGTGTTTAAAAGCTGCCATTTCTCTTGTATTGTTCTTACCCTTTCCCCTCTCATGATGTCCCATAGGGCCTGAGAAAACGTGGGTTGGAGGGAAGCACAGACGTCTGCCTCCTAAGAAGTCTTCTGAAGCCTCACTCCAGGGTTGGTAGAGAAGTCGCCACAACAAGGCTGAGCTCTGTACCGTGAGAAACACACTGGTTTCCCGGATTTCAGTCCCGGCTTTGTCTCCATACCTGCTGTGTGCCTTTGGGTGAATCCTGAAAAGTCTTAGATCATCAGGTTTTCTATCTGATAAATGAAAACCATTTTTCCCTGGGTTGCTGTGCAGATTAAATGGGACGGTGCTTTGTGAAAGTACTCTAAAAACCGCTAAAGCACTGTGTAAGGGCACTTATTCATATCCGTTGTCACTGCTGTTTTTTTGCAGTAAGACCGTCGTCTGATGTGGGAGCAGAGTTATGATAAAATTCTCAGGCCGAGCCAAAGTTGAGGAATAAGAATAATAGTAACTGCAGCAGCAGCAACAGCAGCAGCAGCAGCCACCACTTACTGAATATTTATTCTGTGCTCACTGCTGTGCTAAGCGCTTTCCATATGATAAACAATTCTTAGAAAAGAAAAACCGTATGATGTAGACATTAACGGATGTGGAAACCGAGGCCCAGAAAGGTTAATTAATTTACCCAAGGTCACACAGCTTGTAAGTGATAGAATCTGGTTTCAAACCTGGGTCTGTCAAACCCCAAAGTCCTTGTTTGCACCTATAATGCAACACAGGCATTTTCAGAAAACCAATCTTAATTAAACTTGTCTCCCTTGAGTCAGAGTGTGGTCTTGATTTTGGTGCTATTTCACCACAGTTCTAAAAAACAACATTAGCGAATTTAACCCTGCAAGATAATTAACTGTCACTCCAGAAAAAAAAAAAAAGGGTAGGAAAAGTTTTACAACCTAGGTTTCTCTAGCCCTTCTTTATGATAAAAATAAATAAATAAACTTCCTCAGGATCTGGATGCTTATCTGCTTGGCCATTTCAAGAAAAAAATGTGTTCTAGCTGCATAAGAGATATTTACTAGCAGCGTGTGGGTGCTTGATACTTACATATAACCCTTGAACTTGTTGAGATGGTTGTTGGGTTTCTCACACACGATGGTGTTGTGGAAATGCTCCGGCTCGAACTGCACCTCCTATGAGAGAAGAGGATAGTCCTGAAGTTATTAAGTCAGAGGGATCTAGTTTTAATAGGATCACCAGGGAGATTATTGTCAGAACCACTGCAAAAAAACGGTAATCCCTGCTTTGTCACCGTGTGATAGCTGCAATGTGTTAGAAGGAGAAGTAAAACTCCTCATTAAGGAGGAGCAAGTAGATGCAAATTAAATTGGGATTCCCGGCAGAGAAAAAGATGGAGACCCCTTTTCTTAGTGGGGCCTGGGATGGAGTCGTGAGGCCAGCATTTCCAACGGAACTTCCTGCAACGATGGAAATATTCGAAGTTTGCTGTGTCCAATATGAAGCTACTAAAATGTGGCAGGATGACTAGGAATTGATTTTTAAATTTTATCCAATTTCAATTCATGTAAAGTTAAATAGCTACATGTGGCTAGTGGCCACCACAGAAATAGATGATCGAAAAGAAGAGATCATATATCACGTCACCTAGAGATAGCCACAGTTAATATTTATGTGTGTGTGATACTCCCAGGGTTAAAAAATATGTATACATGCGCACACACATTTATGTATGGATATGCATATACAGTTATGCTTTGCAAAACTGAGATTTAGTGTTCATCTATCATAAACATTTTTATGTTATTAAATTTTTCCACTGCTTAGAAACCTACTGTATGAATGCCACCATATTTCATTTAGCCGTTTCACTATTGAATACTTAAATTGTTTCAGTTTGTCTTGCTATTGTAGAAATGCTTTAATGTGAAAAATAATTGCTAATAAAATAAATAGCATTTCCTGGACTCTCATTTCTGCCCAGTGCTGTGATAAGAGCTTTACTCATACTGTTTATTTTCAAGCTTACCATTATTCTATGGAGTACCGAAGTACTTCAAACATATTGACGCTCCACAATTTCTCTTATATTAGGTATTTTAGTCATATAATCTCTTTTGTCCAATGAGGGGAAAACACAACCGGGGGTGGGGAAGTTTTGCTTCGTAATAATCCTACCCCATATCAGCTATTACTGTGTTCAACCCCTGAGCCTCAGCTTACTGGTCTGTAGAATGGGACTAATACCACACCTCCCCGGTCCAATCTCATTTGTGCCTCAGAAGAAAGAATCCACGAGGGAAGGTTGTGAAAGGTGTAATGTGCTATCCAGATGGAAGGAAGGAGTGCTAGAGATGGCACTGGACACCGTTTCTGGGGTAGAGCTTTCAGCACGGGGAGTGAATTCATGGCTGAAAGCTTCAAGGTACAGCTGCTCAAAGGAGCACATTGATTAGAAGAAATGATAGCATTTTCTGGCTTTGTGCAAATATACTGTCCATTGGATCTGCGGGGGCACCGACATAAATAAACTCTCCAGTCACTTGAAATAAATTACCCATCCAGGAGTTTCTAAAAATATGGCCCTTTTCCCTCCTGGTATCGATTCTTTCAGGGACAAACACTTGCCGAGTTCTGAGATGATGACAAATCACGCTGTAATTTGTCAGCTGCTTTCATGCCTCTGATTAAGCCATGTGCTTCACTCCCTCCCGATCCATACCATTCAGCTCATCGCCGGCTTTCTAAATCCGAACTCATTTCAGAGAGGAGTGGCGGCGGGGTCTGAGAGCTAAGGACCCTGCTGCAGTGAGTCCCTGTTGTCCGTTTCATTGACCCGGCGGACCCCTGGCAATGGCCAAGTTTGCCTCTCTGTCCCTCAGTGGGGCTTCCCAGTGACCTGCCTCCTGAGGTGTCCCTTATTTTGTTTTTCTTCAGGGCACTGGGCTTGGGTCTTCTGTCCCCCTCTCCTTATGGAGAGGTGACCTCACCTTTTCTAGCTACCTGTCCCCTGGATGCGTTCCTTCCCTCCATAAGATGGGCTGTGGAGAGGGGCGTGTGGGCCCGGCTGTCTCCAAAGACAACCCCTCAGGCTCTTGGTGCTTTGAAGATTTGCTGTAGCTCACTCCTGGGGGCTGCTGGCTGAGCCTAAGGACAGGAGGGAATTGCCAAGCCTTCCAATCTGTCCTTATTTTAAGCAGGACTTCCTGATTCTCTTCTGATTCACTACCCCACAGCTTTTCTCAGCTGGCGAATGAAGCCCACCTAACCAACCTTTCTTTCTAAGCAGCTTTTTATCTAAGGCATTGTCCTTGATGGCAGCCTCACTAACAGCAAAATGGCCTGGGAGCCATCAGGGTCCACGAAAAGATAAATCCTTTCCAGAGAGCAGAGTGTGGGTCTCTGCATGCTTCAGGCCAGACCCACCGACCTTGAGCACTTGCTAGGTGCCAGGTATCTGTCATTAAGTTCTCACAGTAACCTTAAGCGGGTTTGACAGAAGCGCAATGGAGACTGAAGTAAAGCACCTGTCTTATGGTTGGTAAGTAACAGCTCCAGGATCACAGTTCATATCACTGGAATCCAAAGCCAATCTTGATAATCGTCAATGTCATCATCTTTATCATCACCATGTTTATTCCTCTTCCACCCCCTCCACTTAGTACTATGACTATTATCGCTGTAGCAAATGCCTATTTGAATACTTATTATGTGCCAAGAACCAGCTAAGTATTTTATACAGGCTATTTTCTTTAATTCCCCAACAAGGGCTTGACTAGTCTCCCATTCATTCATTCCTTCATGCATTTATTGAATGTCCATGAAATATGAACCACAGGGGAAGCGAGAGAGAATCAGGGAGAAGGAACAGGTTATTGACACAAATCCATTACTGCAGCCATAAAACAACTCAAAGTTTCCAGCTTAGCCCATGCGGATCAATGGCGGTATCTCTGAAAGCAAAGGAAAGTCAGCTGAGTGTTAATGTGTAATGAGTGTCCAGGTGAAGGTCCTCCTCACTGGCCCATGACCCCAAAACAGCAACCTGCATCCTCCCAGGGCCACTGGGAAGGCCAAGGTGAAACAGACAGACAGAAACATATTCCAGTAACCAGAATAGGCCATTTCGCTGGCACTAGCTTCAACTTTTACCTTCCTAGGCTTAATCTCCTCTATTCTTCACAACTGAATTTCAAGTTGGTCTATACATATAATACATAAATCCACAGATGTACAAATGATCTTTTGAAATTGTTTGTAGTGGGTAGTTTTCTGGCCACCATCCATTTTGTCCATTCTACTCTCTCATTAACAACCTTTTAACTTTCTACCACAGACCATAGCGATCTCTCTTTGCTTTGAACCCAGGCGATTCTTAATATCCATACCACTCAACTTTGAACTTGTCTTACGCTTTTAATTGTCAAATACCAAGCTGTTTCAATAAGCCCATTGGTGGATGAAGCATCGCAACGGGTCCACAAATTCCCATACACACCAAAATGTTGTCTGTAGACAGAGTAAAAATAAGTGTCACATGTACATAGTCTTTCAATTTCCGTAGGAAGTCGTGAAGCCAGTAAATTACAAATCCACTTAAAACAGTTATCAAATTCATAGTAACTTTTTGTTTTAATTTATTTTCTTAAATAATGGACTCTGGAACAACAACTACTTTCAGGAAGGAGGGCTTGGGGGTTTATCAAACATTTTTTTGATAGTCACAAGGGTCTTTATATTTAAAAAATGCACCCATAGTCCTAAGGTCTTGGAGCACCAGAATTACATCTTAGGCCACTTTGAAAGCCCTCCATGGCCATCAGAAAACATTCAAAAAAGATTCTGTTAATTGAAAAAAGATAAATCAGCTAAACTCTTTCCTCAAACACACAATGCATTTATGTACTGAGGTTTTGCTATGGGCCAGGGATATTTGTGAAAAAGAGTTGAACCAGGGACTGCTAAGTTTCTGTGCAGCCCTCAGAGTCTGTTTCCCACACAACCCTCAGGCTTGCTGACTAGAAGAACCACCCCCACCATCCCAACCCCATGTAGGGGTTAGGGTGACAAAGCAGCAGCCATAATGCATTTGTAGATCACTCCTGTGAACTCTGCAAGGACCAGGGGTTATAGGGTACACAATCCTTGTCCACCACCCAGGCAGCTATGCAGGAGATACATGGCAGCTTTGCAAGAATACTGTTTGAAGCTTTGCTCTTTTTTTTTTTTTTTTCCTTCAAAGCCTACCAGTTTGGATAAATTGTAGAAGCAAATGTTCTTCATGCCCCAGCTGCTGAGCCAGGTGACTGAGGCATCCTTCCTGGCATACAAATTAAACAACCCACTGATTTCTGAGAATTCTATCTGAAAACTAATGACAGTTACCAGCACTTGATAACCTTCCTGCTTTCGGTCAGAGTTCTTCTCAAGATAAGCCACAACAGAGTGGCTGGCAGTGACTTTCTCCTCTGCTCTGGATGAGGAAATGGACTGCATACTCCATCGCCCTGGGTCTCTGCCTGCAGGGGCGATTCCCACAAACACACACAGATTAGGCTGGAGGGCTGTGTGAAGAGAGCTCTATCTAAGGATTCTTTCCAGTCTGGGTTCCCTTGTTTCAAATGAGCAAATAGTAATTACATTTAATCCTGAAATCTGTTTTTTTTTTTTTAAGTTGAGATACAATTGGCATATGACATTATATTAGTTTTAGGTGTTAACATAAGACTGCTTAGGTCATAGCAAAAGAACCCAGGAGTCAATCTGAAGACGTTCCCACGGGCTAAAGATGGGGCAGTCGATAAAGTTAAGAACTGCATTAATTTGACATCCATCAACTATGTGGAAATCCACCAGTTCCTATGGATACTGAAAAAGAAAAATTCATCGGTCACCTTTGGAGGATGCTTTGGAGTCGGCTCACGTAACATTGGCATAAATATGCACACACACGAATCTAACTGAAATCTGATTTAGGCCCTAGCTCCAACTACCAATTTTAGAAATACGTTGTACAGGGGAACGTGCTAAATGGAACCACAGGGAGATAATGCAATCAGCAAAATCAAGACTGGAGAAGATTTTGCAGGACAAACAACCTTTTATTCAGCAACAAGAAACAAATGTTCAAGAAAAAATAAAAAATAAAAAGGAAGCAGGATAGGAGCCTACACAG